CACGCGCTGCTCGAGACAGGGATTCTCTTTCCCCTCATCGACAGCGTTCTCGTCAGCGTTCTCCTAGGGCCAATCGATCAGACGACAATCGCCGTGCTGGTCTTTCCTCCTCTCGTCACGGTTCTCATCGGAGCCTTCGATCAGAGGAGGATCGTCTTGCCAAGCGCCAAGCCCGGGCCGCTGGCTCAGACGCTGCCAAGCCAGGCGCTCATACTGCGTCCAACGCTGATGAAAGCAGTCTAGCTAGACGAAAGAATCGAGCTGATCGTCCTCCTAAGACCAATCGATCAGGTGAGGATCGTCTTGCCAAGGACCGAGCTCGAAGCGCTAGGTCTCACACTTCCAACCCAGGTGCTCACACTAGTTCCAACGGAGACGAAAGCAGGTCAGCTAGACGAAAAATTCGAGCCAATCGCGACCGAGACGCCAAAGTACGGGCCAAGAATAGCGCTACTAAGTCTAGTGGAAACGGTGTTGGTAGTGACGGCGTGGTAGATGAAGTCGAGCGAGACGCTGTGGGAGATGAGCAGGCAGTTGATGGTGCTGTCGAGTTGAAGGCCATGGCTATCGAAGATCTCGAGAATGAACAGCTCAAGGAACAACAGGCTCAAATCGAAGCGCTCAAGCAACAAATGCAAAACATGGCGCAACCAAATCATGGTTCGGATCCTGACACAGAAGACGACACTGATATCGACGGAACGAATGAACCTCATGGGCAGCATCCCAAAAAGCGTCGGAAATGTATTGTTGGTATCCTTCTAGTCCTTCTTACAATCGGTGGAGGAGTCGCTGGATACATCCTGGGGAATCCGAAGAAGAAGTCTCCCACGAAAGCTCTACAACTTGATGTAGAGCCGACGACCCCTCCAACTACGGCAGGTGGCACTACTACTGCTATACAATTACCCAGTACTTCGCCTTCCAACAGTCCCACCGAGTTGCAAATCTACACGCCACCAAGTAAAGAAGATTGCGAGGCCATTGCATCTGGCTCGACATTGTCCGACCAAACCACTTTGACCTCCAGAGAGTTTGTCATTGAGTTTGATGCAACCTTGAACTCTCAAATGGCAGAGGAAGATTGGGTAGGACCTCTCAAGGAACAGCTTCAGTCGATTTTTCTTCCCGTCGTGGCAGGTTGCTCGACTCGTCGCTGGCTTCGTGAAACGAAGAGCAAGCAACACAGACAACTGCAATTGTTGCCAGACTTTGCTATTGCAAACGGCAAAATTGGAAACGCCATTGTAGCGGAAGGGGGCTGCGAGGACGAGTCTGCTGCCGCGCTCTGTCATCGCGTGAGCGTCTTGATGGATCTTTCACTTCGCGACGAAGATACGAAGCTCACTTTTGTTGAAGCTTATTTGATTACCACTCTTCGTGCTTCGCCTGACAACGTTTTGGGCCTGGAATCTCTATTGTCCAATCTTGTGGTCATTCGTGCTGCCCCCACCGCACCAACAGATGAACCAAGCTTTAGCCCGAGCTCTCGCCCATCTACCGTTCAGCGTACTATTCAGCCTACCGATGTACCATCATCACAAGCATCAAAAGCCCCAGTTGTTGGTCCCACTACTCTTGAACCAACACGATCCCCGACCAAAGCACCAACAAAGGCTCCGGTCGCGGCTCCAATTTTGTCAACCGAGAACCCAACCGCAAGCCCAACAAAAGCACCAGTCGTTGCTCCTACATTGGCTCCTGTGGTCGGCCCAACGCCACCGCCAACGCAAGTACCTACAAAGGGTCCATCGGCTGTTCCATCGTCGGCTCCATCAAAGGTCCCCACGAAGGTCCCCACAAAGCGTCCAACTGCAAACCCCACTTCCACTCCGACCAGTAGTCCAACGGCAAGTCCAACTTCCGGCCCCACAGATGGTCCAACAGTGGCTCCTACAAAGACTCCAACTGAAATCCCGACTTCTGGTCCCACCGGTAGTCCGACACTACGAGCTAGCCAATCTCCAACGGTGATGACATCAGTCATAACGCCATCGGCGACAGCCCTGCAGTCATCCGAGTATTATTGCAACCCTGACTTGTGCGCAGGTGATGGAAGTGGGCAGTTGATGCCTGGTACGCCAGCCGGTGAAGCTTCAAATGCCATTGATGGCAATATCGATGGGAACTACTATAGTGGATCAAGTTCACACACCTGGACACAATGGAACCCATACTGGCAAGTACAAGGAATTGCGGGCCCTGTCAGTACAGTACGCATATGGAATAGAAATGGTGAAGCGGGTGCAGATGACTTGGTTGGCGCAAATGTAGATCTGCTGGACCATAACGGAGAGGTCCTAGCAACTCGCGAAATTCAGGGTGTTGCACACTTCCGGGAATTCGAGTTTGAAAGTATCAGCGGAGTCGACCTGCTCCTTGCAACCTTCTGGGAATTCGAGTTTGATAATGTCAGCGATGTTGATACGGTCCGAGTCTTGCACCCTTCCCTTACATTTCTCATCATTGCAGAAGTCGAAGTCCTTGGTGGAAGTTCTCACAGCTCATTAATCACTGAATCTTCGGTAGCCTCGCAATCGTCGTCTTTAAATTGCGATGCATGTATGTACGTTCCACATGGCTCTGTTGCTGGGCCAGCAAGCCTAGCCATTGACGGTAATCGAAATTACCCAGGGGCTCATACACAGGCTCAGGTAGACCCGTGGTGGCAGGTGGATCTCCAGTTGACCGCAACTGTGAGCAGGGTTGTCGTCTGGGGCCGTGAGGATTCTTGCTGCATTGGTTGGTTGTATGGCGCCAGAATTCATTTGAAAGACACTTTTGGTAATGTCATTCACACTGAGATAGTATCAGATGCTGGTGTGATGAGTACTTTTGAATTTCCTCCCGTTGAGGATGTTGCTGCAATTCAAATTGTTATGGGTGCATCACCTGAATATTTTCCCTTGAATATTTTGGAGGTCGAGGCATTCGGTGTTATCCAATGATTATTGGGCCATTGCTAGACCAATTTCTGCAATCCATATTGCCAATGATCAATTCTAGAAACTAAGGAACTTTTCATCATGCAATAGAGATTCTTCACTATAGTCGCCACATCATCTTCCGCCTCAAATGATGCCAGTCACTTGTTCATCAATGCCGCTTTCTTTGAACCGTTGTTGTACTGAGGCCGAGAACAATTTTGGCGACATAATTCCATAAGAAAATTGGTTACTTGGCAGTGCCAGAGATCTTAGCAATTGGTGACATGTAAAAGTAGAATGACATGGTTGTTGGACAAAAGTTGAAAAAAATTAAACGAGGACTGATCAGCATCATTGGGAATGAAACAATACCGGCCGACGGCTGCGGTGGCTGTGTCCTGTGGCTTGCTTTCCATTCTGTCACTGCAGCGACCCTCGCCCATCCAAACCATTGCCATCGCATGTAGATATATTCTTCAATCAATGTGGTTTCCATTCTGGGATCAATCAATCAACCATTCGAGCATATTAAAATTTGGCAATCCCATAAGATTCATTGATTGATAAAATGATACTCTAGCCACGATTACTCCCGATAAGTGTCTTGTTGGTTTGATTCTGCACAACTTCTTTCCAATGAGGATTCGATAAGAATTGTATCATGGTATTCTTCACCACATCGTTCAAAGCAGGTTGCGCCATGGGAATGGAATTCACAGTGGCATTCAAAATAGGCTCCCTCAAAGCACCATTGGGCAAACCCACCACAATGGGCAAGAGAGCATTGTGAACCAAGGGAGATGGTAAAAAGGAAGCACCCAGTGGAATGGTCTGTTGGCTGGCTAGTGATGTGGGATCGTAGTGAGCTTTCAGAGGGTTTGGTGGGGGTTTGTTCCTGCGAAAGGGAAGACTGTTTTCCCCATCGTCATCGTACGATTCGGATCTTCGCTGCAGTTGCTGCTGGCGTTGTTCTTGTTGTGCTGCTTGTTTGTCTGCGGCATATTTGGTTCCCATGAAGTACTGATCTCGTTGGTATTGAAGTGATTGCAACGTGGAATTGTAAAAGGGCAATTTTCGGACGTCTTCTGCTTCCTTGGGCAATTGATCTCGGACTTGTTCTACCAAAGGATCAGTCTTCGGCTCAACTGTTTCCACCAATCGTTTGGCGACTGCATCGAGCAGCCTGTTTCTAGCTCGTGCGTACAAGATGCTTTCCGGGCTGACAGCTGTAGTAGTGTTGTCGTCTTTCTCAGAAACATCCATATTGCGTGGATCTGGCATAACAGCGGGTAATGATGAGAACTTTTCTTCTTGGAAACTGTTGCTTATTTTATGTTCAATAAACTCTAAATTTGAAATTGACAGCCAACTTTTTTCCAACGCACATTTATTTTACGCGCGTGATAATTGTGAATGAATGCCCCTCTTCTCCACCTCTCCAATGCAAGCATTCCAAAAAATCTACCGTTACTAAAATAAGCTCCTTCCTCTACGGTAGTATTCTTCATTGCGCAATTCCCACTACAAAGACTGTCTCTTGAGCTCTTAATAAATGATATTTCATTACTGGAAGGATCATCGTTCTTCGTTGTGCGTGCTGTCGTGGCTGATCGGTTGGAGTCAAGGCCAAAGCACCACCAGTTTATGAGATGTCACCTTGGCTTAGCACACCCATCCATCGCCATCAGACTGTACGGAATAGAGATCTCTTCCCGCGCGGCTCTTCAGTGCAGATATACTACCATTTCAGCATGTATTTCAAGTGACTCATTCAAGTCTGTCTTTTCTGAAGCGGGAAGGCTTCTTTCTACGCTGCTTCCTGCATCACATATTCAGAAGCTATGGGTAGCTAATTGACACTGTTGTAGCTTGAGTTCTTTGATAAGAATTTCTTTGTCAAGAATCCTGGAGAAGTAAAGAGCACCAATCAAAACTCCAGTGAAGATGATGATTACCTAACAGTTGAATGTAAGCGACTGAATTAGTCTTAACACACCTGCTCTGCCCCATTGTTGCTGACATCTAAAATGGATTTGCAGTGCAAGTCGTCCGTCTTCAAGGTAATTCAAAAAAATTGAGGTACCGTGTTTGGAGGTCAAGCATAATGATTTGTATGCTTACGGTCCAACTAACACAAAGTCCAAACGGTACCGCCTGGAATTGAAGAATCTATTGGTACGGTATTGAGCGGAGCCTCAAAATGACGTGCTACAACAGTACTGTGGTAATACCGGTATCGTACATCCACGTATTATGTTTTAACTATCGAAGATAGCCAACTGGCGCCTTCTTTTCGGGTTCTTCTGCTTGGTGTTTCTTGGAGTGACTCTGGTGGGTTGTGGTGTGAAGCTGGTCCTTTTGAGTTGCGCGCGAAGCGTACGACTCAAAGGACCAGTCTCAGATTTCCCGTAAGACGAGACTTGCTTGTCTGCCAGGCCTTGACACAAAACAATCGTGTCAAGGCCCAACAGGGTGTGGTGGGATGGGAAAGAAAGAAATAACTCTATTTTTTTGTCAGTATACTTGCACACAAGTTCGATATGTGTAGATCGGACTTAGGTTGCTGGTGCAATACTGAGATGACGGTCGCCCTACCGTCGTTCATGGAGTCACTATTGAGTCCATTGGTTCGACCGCTTTCTTCCGTCTACGTTAGAATATCCCTTCACTGCGATACACATACACGTGTACACGTGTACGCATATAAATGTAATCGTTCCATGTGTCCTTCCCTTGGAGCTGCTTGATACTGGCTCAGGAGTGATACTTCCAGTAAGATATCGACTCGTCCAATCTCTGTCGCCCATCGTAATATCCCAATCAACTCTTGGAAGTAGGTATGGTCTTCTTGTCCTAATTCGCTTGATCCATCCATCTCCGGTTCATAGGCACTAGTCATCGGCGTTGGTGCATTCTTGGGCATTTTCCATTTTGGGCTGTCCTTTAATGTTTCCTTGACGTTATTGACTGCCACGACGTAGTCATAACTTGACATCGTCCACATGTCGTGTCCATCCAAAGTCTTCTTTCGTAACCTAGCTCCCAGGTAGCTTTCTGGAGGTTCAATCTTCCCTTTCTTGAACTTGAACATCCTTCCAATTCCTTCCATCACTTCTTTGGCTTTCAGCGACATACATAGGATGTCGTTGACGTAGCAAAGGATGTATTTGTAGTATTCCTCGCCGTCAGGTTTCACTGCCGCTCGCATCCAAACGTCTGGGTTGGCAGTTGATGAGCTGAAGCCCAAATCCTCCAAAGTCTCCGCCAGGTGTGATCTGAATACTGCGGATGAACTTTTTAAGCCATATAATGCTCTTCTTACGATAAATACTTTGCCTTCTTCACCAAACTTGGGTCCTGCTACCAGGTAGCACTTTTCGATCGCTGGTGCAGTGAGGAATGCGTTTTGAATATCCGCGCATTGCAAGTCTAATCCGTTTAGCGCTGCTATCATTAGTAGTATCCAAACTGAATCACGGGACACTACCGTACTGTAGGTCAATGCTGCGGGTGCTTCAGTCTTGTGTCCATCAGCGCAGTACCTCGCTTTCCTTCGGAAGTTTTCCCCTAGTTTCACATCAAATACTAGGTGTCCCATGATCTTTTTGTATCCCATCAGCTTCTCTACGTCTCCATCGAATTCTTCAAAAGCGACTCGATTGTTTTTCATCTCCATTTGAATTGAGTCTTGCCATAGTGTGTCCCCATTTGCTTTGTCGATTTCGATGGCTTCTTTGATCGATTTTGGGATACGTATTTTGTACTTGTGCGTACGTTCCCAGTACTTCGATTTTACTTTGCCAAGGAATCGCTTTCGCTTTCGAACAACGTGTGGGATCCACCATGCAAAAGCGGGTTCGTCTTGGATGCCCTTGCTTATCGCGTAATCGGCCACTTCAATCGGGAACGACTCATTCATATCTTTCAAAGGTATCCAATTTGAGGAACCATCTTTCCAAGTAACGTAGAAGTCCCATCCTGCTGTCGTGTGTCGTCTTCGTTGCGTTCCACTTGCGAGGGGCGGGATAGAAACCATCTTTCATCTTTGCTGCCTTCTCATCAGAACAATGTTCCGTGATCTCCTCCATTAGCAAGTGTCTGTGTCCATGTTCGTCCACTTGTGCTAATAAGTTCTCTGCTAGCAAGTTCGCAGCGAGCACTTCGGTGCTTCCATCTTCGTATTCGACTTTGTATTGCCTCGTGTCGAGCAACTGGTTGTTGTTTGCTAGGCCCATTGGGTTTCCTTCCGCATCAATGAGTCTCCTGCGTACAACTGCACGTTGCAACTACATTATTACGAGAGTGTTGACTTACAAAGTAGTAGATGTTAAAGATAGTAATGTAGATCAAATCGTATTCTTAAAAAAAGAGTGTTGTTATCGTCGTTTCATCGACAGGCTTCCGCGAAGGCCGCGATCCCGTTCACTTACGGACACGAACCATTGCACGCGTGTGCAATAGCACGGTAGCCTTCTTTTGTACGAGGACGGTCAAGTTCTGGCGAACCTGCTTTATTAAAACATGAAATATGACCACTATCAAAATGGGACCACTATACTGTAAGTGACGAAGCTCCGAGCATGAACAACAGCAGTACTGTAGTGGTGTTGATTTTCAGGCACATGAAGACGAAGGCACATCGCGATCACAATCGAAAACAATGAAGACGAAGTTGAAAGCACATACATAATATTTTATAAAATACCACCACGCCTGACCTCAAAACACTCCGGATCCAACGGGGGCTGACAATGGCATTTTGTGACCTCTGGAAGTGATGTGCTTTTGTCATTCAATATATATTTTAAAATATATAAAAGGCGAATTTTGTATAAAGACCCAAACTTCCGTAAAAATTCTTCTCACCTGTCTTCCAGCACACTTTTCTCCTCACAAAATTTTGTGCCCAGCAGTACTACACAAATACTCCCCAACATCACGATGTCCGAAGAGAAGGAAAACAACAAAGAAGAGCATCGTATCAAACGCGAGGCCAAACGAAGTCGTGGGACTTCAACTGGAAGCTCGTCAAGATCCTTGCGAATCAGCGGACATTCTCGGTCCTCCTCTGGCCGTGGTTCCCGTCGGCGCACTCGACCTACAACCAAAAGCTCTTCGTCAAGATCCTTGCATACCAGCGGACATTCTCGTTCCCCCTCTAAGCATGGTCTCCGTCGGGGCATTCGGTCAAGCGAGGACCTTCGTGCCAAGGACAGAGCTCGACGATCAAGACCTGCCAAAGCCAAACCAGGTGCACGCGCTGCTCGAGACAGGGATTCTCTTTCCCCTCATCGACAGCGTTCTCGTCAGCGTTCTCCTAGGGCCAATCGATCAGACGACAATCGCCGTGCTGGTCTTTCCTCCTCTCGTCACGGTTCTCATCGGAGCCTTCGATCAGAGGAGGATCGTCTTGCCAAGCGCCAAGCCCGGGCCGCTGGCTCAGACGCTGCCAAGCCAGGCGCTCATACTGCGTCCAACGCTGATGAAAGCAGTCTAGCTAGACGAAAGAATCGAGCTGATCGTCCTCCTAAGACCAATCGATCAGGTGAGGATCGTCTTGCCAAGGACCGAGCTCGAAGCGCTAGGTCTCACACTTCCAACCCAGGTGCTCACACTAGTTCCAACGGAGACGAAAGCAGGTCAGCTAGACGAAAAATTCGAGCCAATCGCGACCGAGACGCCAAAGTACGGGCCAAGAATAGCGCTACTAAGTCTAGTGGAAACGGTGTTGGTAGTGACGGCGTGGTAGATGAAGTCGAGCGAGACGCTGTGGGAGATGAGCAGGCAGTTGATGGTGCTGTCGAGTTGAAGGCCATGGCTATCGAAGATCTCGAGAATGAACAGCTCAAGGAACAACAGGCTCAAATCGAAGCGCTCAAGCAACAAATGCAAAACATGGCGCAACCAAATCATGGTTCGGATCCTGACACAGAAGACGACACTGATATCGACGGAACGAATGAACCTCATGGGCAGCATCCCAAAAAGCGTCGGAAATGTATTGTTGGTATCCTTCTAGTCCTTCTTACAATCGGTGGAGGAGTCGCTGGATACATCCTGGGGAATCCGAAGAAGAAGTCTCCCACGAAAGCTCTACAACTTGATGTAGAGCCGACGACCCCTCCAACTACGGCAGGTGGCACTACTACTGCTATACAATTACCCAGTACTTCGCCTTCCAACAGTCCCACCGAGTTGCAAATCTACACGCCACCAAGTAAAGAAGATTGCGAGGCCATTGCATCTGGCTCGACATTGTCCGACCAAACCACTTTGACCTCCAGAGAGTTTGTCATTGAGTTTGATGCAACCTTGAACTCTCAAATGGCAGAGGAAGATTGGGTAGGACCTCTCAAGGAACAGCTTCAGTCGATTTTTCTTCCCGTCGTGGCCGGTTGCTCGACTCGTCGTTGGCTTCGTGAAACGAAGAGCAAGCAACACAGACAACTGCAATTGTTGCCAGACTTTGCTATTGCAAACGGCAAAATTAGAGACGCCATTGTAACGGAAGGGGGCTGCGAGGACGAGTCTGCTGCCGCGCTCTGTCATCGCGTGAGCGTCTTGATGGATCTTTCACTTCGCGACGAAGATACGAAGCTCACTTTTGTTGAAGCTTATTTGATTACCACTCTTCGTGCTTCGCCTGACAACGTTTTGGGCCTAGGAACTCTATTGTCCAATCTTGTGGTCGTTCGAGCTGCTCCCACCTCGCCAACAGACGAACCAAGCATCAGCCCGAGCTTTACTCCATCTACTGTTCAGCCTACCGCCCAGCCTACCGATGTACCATCACCCAAACCATCATTTGCCCCAGTTGTTGGTCCCACTACTCTTGAGCCAACAAAGTCCCCGACCAAAGCACCAACAAAGGCTCCGGTCGCGGCTCCAATTTTGTCAACCGAGAACCCAACCGCAAGCCCAACGAAGGCACCAGTCGTTGTCCCTACGTTGGCTCCAGTGGTCGGCCCAACGCCACCACCAACACAAGCACCTACAAAGGGTCCATCGGCTGCTCCATCGTCGGCCCCATCGGCGGCTCCATCGGTGGCTCCATCAAAGGTCCCCACAAAGCGTCCAACTGCAAACCCAACTTCCACCCCGACCAGGAGTCCAACGGCAAGCCCAACTTCCGGCCCAACAAGTAGTCCATCAAAGGCTCCCACAAAGGCCCCAACTCAAAGCCCAACTTCCGGCCCCACCAGTAGTCCAACTTCTTTTGACGTTCGCCCAATATTGATGGATATGTACGACGGTTTGAATACACAATTTGCATCCTCTTCGAATGGTTGGGAAGGGACCGGGGATGAGTGTTTATGGAGTGGTGTTGGTTGTGATTCTTCAGGAAACGTCGTATCAATAACTCTTGAAAATAAAGGTTTGGATGGTACCATTTCCTCGAGGATTGGAGAATTGTCAACACTCACAAATTTGGTTCTGGCGACTAATTCGTTGGTTGGCACTATCCCAACAGAGATTGGGCTTTGTACTAAGCTCAGATTTTTGACCGTCAGAGAAAACCCAAATCTTGGAGGCTCAATACCAACAGAGATCGGTCTCTTGACAGCGTTAGAGTTGGTGAATTTCTGTGAGATCAATTGGAAACGTTTTTGCTTGTATCCCAACAGAGCATCAAATCTCACATTTCTTTCTCCATCGATCTGGCCGTAGACGATGATAACTTGACTGGGAACATTCCAACAGAGATTGCTGGTATGAAGGAACTTAGAATGTTGATCCTAGGTACGAGTGATTATTGTGTTGTTGTGGTAAAATACTCGTTTCGGCTATTTGCCTCGCCTTACGCTGCTGTTGTCTTGGTTGGAATCGTAGCCATCAATAATTTGAGCGGCACTGTACCATCAGAGATTGGTCTATTGACTGGGATTACTCATTTGGATATAGCCGTACCGTATGGCACGAACCCTGCTCTTAGTGGCCCATTGCCAATAGAGCTTTATCGTTTGACAGGACTGCAGTCTTTAATTTTTTACGGCAATAGTTTGAGTGGAAGTTTGGCAACAGAGGTTGGTCGTTTGACGGATCTCGCGTACTTCAACCTGGGTAAGCCGTACTGGTATATGGATTCGACGTAGCCCCACGGGTGTTGAACATCATCATCTCATGCCTTTTCTTTGAATTCTGCTTGCTCACTGAAGGCCATACTCATCTTGGTTCCACAATTCCATCCGAGATTGGTAATTTGGCAGCTGTAGAAATGATCAACTTTGGTAAGAGGTCAGAGGAGAATGGTATCGTTGGTTTTTGAGACAACAGCTTTTGGCTCATGCGAAAAACTCTGCCTTACAGAAAGAAACAATTTCATTGGGTCGCTTCCCTCAGAGATCGGAAATTTGTCAGCGCTTAAACTGCTGTGGTTGTATGGTTAGTGAGAAGAAATACTTGGGATTGAGCTTTTTGGAAATGTCTCATGCTTCTTTTCGTGCGTCACAGCTATGGACGGTCCTCTCACTGGTAAAATTCCGTCTGAGATTATCAACTTGACAGCATTGACAGACTTGAGGCTGAGTAAGTCAATTCGAACAATGGCTGCCTTGATGTTTTGTTTGATATCTCACAATCGATGTTGCTTTTCTTCTTGGCGCTAGGCTCTAATCAACTGACCGGGAATGTCCCTCAGTTGAAAGCGAGTGGAGCTTTCGAAGTCTGTGATTTGCGTAAGTTCTGCAAGTACCGTATGCACAAGGACCTCTATAGCATATTCTCACAAGTATTGCAATGGTTTTGCACCGCCAGGCAACAACGCTTTAGGAGACAAATCAGTTGGTGTTCAAGCTGGCTGCTGGGTTTAGCATGTAGTTGAACCAATGCTTCATCGCTTTCAACACGTGGTTGCAGCGATTACTGTAGCGACTGCCGTCCATCCAGACCATGTGTGGTTTCCATTCTGGGATCAATCAATCAACCATTCGAGCATATTAAAATTTGGCAATCCCATAAGATTCATTGATTGATAAAATGATACTCTAGCCACGATTACTCCCGATAAGTGTCTTGTTGGTTTGATTCTGCACAACTTCTTTCCAATGAGGATTCGATAAGAATTGTATCATGGTATTCTTCACCACATCGTTCAAAGCAGGTTGCGCCATGGGAATGGAATTCACAGTGGCATTCAAAATAGGCTCCCTCAAAGCACCATTGGGCAAACCCACCACAATGGGCAAGAGAGCATTGTGAACCAAGGGAGATGGTAAAAAGGAAGCACCCAGTGGAATGGTCTGTTGGCTGGCTAGTGATGTGGGATCGTAGTGAGCTTTCAGAGGGTTTGGTGGGGGTTTGTTCCTGCGAAAGGGAAGACTGTTTTCCCCATCGTCATCGTACGATTCGGATCTTCGCTGCAGTTGCTGCTGGCGTTGTTCTTGTTGTGCTGCTTGTTTGTCTGCGGCATATTTGGTTCCCATGAAGTACTGATCTCGTTGGTATTGAAGTGATTGCAACGTGGAATTGTAAAAGGGCAATTTTCGGACGTCTTCTGCTTCCTTGGGCAATTGATCTCGGACTTGTTCTACCAAAGGATCAGTCTTCGGCTCAACTGTTTCCACCAATCGTTTGGCGACTGCATCGAGCAGCCTGTTTCTAGCTCGTGCGTACAAGATGCTTTCCGGGCTGACAGCTGTAGTAGTGTTGTCGTCTTTCTCAGAAACATCCATATTGCGCTTATCCGGCATCATAGGTTTGTAATGAACTTTTCTTTGGACGACTGCAATATGGATTTTTAAAATGTTGTGTTCATTCAAACAAAAGATGATGATTCAAATAGTCAGCCTTTTTTTCTTCTCCAACGAATGCAAATGCCCCCTTCCCCATGCCTCCAAAGGTGCGAAATAAGACGAGAAGAACACCTCAAAGTTTTCGTACCGGTATACGAGTAGTCTAAATTTATCAGCATACCCGCACTTGGCATTGAAAATATATATCCCCCTACTGTACAGTACACAAGAGTTGTTGATTGCGCTGATTCCACTGCTAGGAAGCAATATTTAGTCGTTAAGTTCATGTAGCTATCAACATAAATTCTCCTCATGCATGAAGTTGCGTCGCGCATCGTGAAAAAGGTCCAAAATGTCCCAGTGATTTTATGAAAACAGTAAAAGTAAATATATTAATGTGCGAAATGGTGTCACCACTGCCTACTACCCTCTTAATGACGTCGGCGTCGTTTCGCTTTCCTCGTTGCTCGTTCTTCTTCAAATGCTTGTATAGCACCTCTGGTGCAATAGTCTTCCGGCTCCCAGAGAGGTTTCCATTGGCATTTGTATAATACAGTTTCGCCATCCTGCGCCTTTCTCGTTTCGAGGACCTTGACTCCAAAGCCTTTTTGCTTGAGCGCAAAATACATTTCTTCCGTCTCCCAAGTGTCTTTCCATTTACAAAGGTAATACGCACTTTGTCCTCTTGGTTTCTTTCGTTTCACAAGCTTTTCCACAAACCATTCCTTGACCTCCAAAATCTCGTCCAAGGTCTTCATTTCCCCATTGTACTGAAATAACGACGGTGATGACTGGGAATCATCACCGTCACACGTCGGCGGCGAAGAAGAACTTCTGGCTTTGGCTCTTCTACCACCAGTAGCACGCCGTTTCCTTTCTCTTTTTCCGGAAGGGATAGAAGCCATATTGGCAGGATTTTCCTCGTCGTTATGGTCGCCCAATGATGCTGATGCTGATGATGCTGATGACGATGATTCCTTGCTGGATGCAGTACGCTTTCGTTTATTGACAGCAGCTTCTTTTTCAGAGTTCGTTGGCAATCTTCTTGCCTTCTTTCCTGCAACATTACTACTACTAGCACTAGTACTAATACTCCAATTGTTATAATCGAATTCTCGAGTGGGTGACGGTGATCTTGGTTGTGTCATGATGGAGCAGGCGTCATCTTCGTCGTCCGAGTCATAATCATCATCATAGGAGATTGTACTATTAGTATTCGTTCGAGAAACACCTAATGCGGCTGTGCCCTCAAAGGATGGAATTGGTAGCCCTGCAACATTCATTAGTAGTTGAGAGTAGCAGTTATGGCAATTGATTCAGAATCAGAATCAGAATCAGAATCTGTAGGTATAGACGGCAACAGACGAGTGCCTCCTACTCTGGTAAACAGTCGGGAGTTCGGTCTTCTAACGTACCGGTAGACGAACGAATGAATCATTGGATTCCTTTCATCATACTGACGACGGTCGAACGACCGTCTCAACGTCATTGCTGCTCCGCAACACCAAGTTATCGAACTTGTGTGCGAGTACAGGTACATCAAGAAATACGTTTATTTCTTTCTTTGCGTGGTCTTCTGGAACCGCACGCTTCGCGCGCAATCCAGAAGACCAGCTTCACACCACAACCCACCAGAGAAAGAATCCCTCACGGAAGAAACCAGGCGGTAGGCGCCAGTTGGCTATATTCTTCTTCAGTGACAGGCATGCGATAGATATGATACCGGTACGATTGAATAGACGATATTCATACTGAATGAGTAGATATAGTATGCTTTGATGGACGTCATGATGTTGAATGACTCATCTGACTTCAAATCATCATCGTCCGATATCTTTTGAATATGCGGGCGCGTTATAATATGTGCGTTTTGCAACAGTAACGATCTTCAGAGACAACTGCTTTTGTCTTTTGACAACAAAAGCAACAACAACAACAACAACAACAAAAACAACAACAAAGAAGCATGCAAGACGACAGCGATCGGAATGTTTATCACTTTCGAGGTGCAAAAGACGAGACTGTTCCCTCCATGGTACAAACCGTAGTGGTGGACCAAAGTGTCACCGAGTTGCCGGACGCTTTTGGCAATCGATTGCATCGCAGAGTCAAAGAATTGATTCTGAAAGGAGTAAAGGTCATCGGAAAAGATGCTTTTCGCAAGTGTGGTTTGCAACAAATCACAATTTATACTGCGAATACTCAAGCCATCTCTACCAGAGCCTTTGAAATGGCCACCTGCTTGGAGAATGTTGACTTTGTCTCACCATCACCATCCAATAATGAGCATGCGTCATTATCGTCATCGGAAGGAAAAGATCTGACAGTGATTGAAGAGGAAGCCTTTGTGGATTGTTCCTCCTTGCAACGAATTAAGATCCCATCCACTGTCAAGATGATGGGCAAGCATGTCTTTGCGGATTGCTCTTCCCTGGTGGAAGCAAATCTATCAAAACCTTGTATGAAAATGATAGCACCTTGTACTTTTGAATCCTGCCGGTCCTTGCAAGCCATAAGTCTACCTGGGACTCTGGAGTGCATTGGTCACTTGGCGTTTCGGGATTGCTGCTCACTGGTGACGGTGGAGATTCCAGCTGCTGTGGAATCCTTGGTCATTCAAGAGCGGGCCTTTTCGAATTGTCAAAGGCTTATGAATCTGACACTTCCAGCGAACTATTCGTCGGATGAAACTTCCTTTGAAGGATGCAAACTGCTCGAGGAAAGCTTTGGCAAGGACGAGGCTGAGTTCCTGGAGGATCTTGACGATGAAACAGATAGTACTGTCGAAAGTTCTTTGGGTTGCCGCATTGCCGCAGGCTTGAGTAACCGTTTTCGGTTGCACCCTATTCACAAGCTATGTTATCATTCCTCCACTACTACAGTGGAGGAATTTCGTCGTGCAGTCCAAAACCAACACCAAGATCCAGCGCCTAACAACAAAAACACTGGTGATAATATTTGCACCATGAAGATGACTCCATTTCATATCCTTTGTTCCTCCGTCGAGCCCCGCCAAGATCTGTTTGAGATCCTATTGTTGTTGAAAGAAGAAGAAGACAAGAGTAATAACAAGTGCCACCCCTCCTGGCAACAAGTTCTAAGACAAAAAGACGCAAATGACAAGCAAGCCATGGACTACTTGATTACCAACTGGACGCCCAAGACCGCAGCATTGCTCGAAATGACCGCCCGGCGATGGATGCTGGATCCATCTTTCCTGAAGAATCAGCAGCATCCCTGGGATAGTACTCCTGATCCTAGATCCAGCAGGAGGTTGGGCATGGAGCGCAGAGTGAATGCCGTAATGAATGTCAGAAACACCAAAGAAACCAGATCCTTTTTGTGGAACAAGGCATCTGACATGTTCGAGGTGTACACAAAACTGGAATCCATTTCGATTTTGGAATTGGCCTTGTGGCACAAACAAATCAAGAGTGGTGGCATGATGAATGTCAATCGCACCAAGAAAATAAGTCTGGATCGGGACCAGTGCCTTAGTCAATGTGGATCGGGTGTAGTGCTCCCTACTATTGGTGCTTTCTTGGGTTTGGAACTACTAGTAGTGGCACATTCGAATCCTGCTTCTAGGAACGACGATCGGCTTTGGAGACATCTACAAGTATGAGCGCAGTTGCTTGGATCGAGGAAAGGCACCTCTCCTACTCCCAAAACCTAATCTGAATTCCTAGAGTAGCAACAAGTATATTTTTTTAAATATTAATAACGACTATTTCATTCATATCCGAGTCGAATTTGTCAGAAAATATATAAAATGTCACATTATTCTTTCATTTCATAAAATACCGGTACACGTGTACCGGTATACCGGTACACATACGCGAAACATCTAAAATCACAATCAAACGAACCGAAACTCCGTTGTTACCGTAATGCCGACCCTTGTCAATTACGAAGCCACCCAAGGGACTGACAAGAACAGTCATTACGAAAGCAGTGATAGCAGCTCTGATGAAGAAAGCAACGATTCATTTTCAGCTTCCAACACTACTCCCAAGAAGTATCCTTTGACAGACAACAACAATGGTACCAACAACTATTCTTCACCAGAGTCGTCCATGGCATCATCGCCAGCCGCAGCAGCTACTATGTCCTCTCCAGCGAATACAAACACTGTGTCATCTCAATGGCAACTCTTTGCGCAAAAGGAATCCAATCTGGAAGCCTTGCTGCAGCATTCTTTTGATAAGATTTCCGAATTGATGGTTTCGGCGTCTCATTTGAAAACTTGCATCCAGAGAAATACTGCTAATAATAATTATAATATTGCTGCCCAGCAAGAAGGACAGTCACGACAAGATGGTACTACAATACAAGGTGACGAAGACAACGATCCGAACGGGCAAGTTTCGAATGGAAACGAGGACAACTCGACTTCCTCTGCGGCCATCATTCGTCAAGTTGTGGCCAAGGAAAAGGCTGCTAATGCCCTCTTGAAGCAAGAATACGCAATCTTGGAATCCAAGCACAAAGACTCACAAATGCAAATTGAACATTTGAAGGAGACTATTTCGAAACAACAAGATGAAATACATCAAACCGAAAAGGAGGTCCAGCAAGCCCACCAAGAGACTCAAAAGTACCAAGCTCAAGCCAAGACCAGCCAAAACAAACACGAAGCCTTGGCCATGCAATTGCACAATTTACAAGTCGTCGTCCAAGAAACCAAAAAGTCTTCACAGCTACTCCTAGATCAACAAGACGAGTTGACGCACATGGCTCGATCCATGGAAGAACAGTACTTTCAAACTCAAGCTACCAATATGCAACAGCAACGCCAGCACTCCCACTTACAACAAGAACACCAAGCATTGTTGCAAGACAAGGAAAAGTTGCAAAACCGAGTCAAACATCTCCAAAATGATCTAAAGGCCAAGGAACGACAAATTCAGCAACATTGGCAGCAGTCCGTCAAGACGCTGGAACAAAAACAAGTCTGGAATGTCCAGCGAATTGAAGCACTCGAAGATGAACTACAAGAGTCTAAAACCTTGACCTTGCAAGCATTGACGACTACTCAAAAGTCGGAAGCCACTTCACAGCAACTCCAAACAGAACTTGCTACTTTGCAATCTACCCTAGACGAATGTCAACAAGAGTACAAGTCCCAACAAGAGCAGCTCCAAGCTCAACTCGACGAGAGTCGTCAAAAGTGTCAATCCAAAGAGCATTCCAATCAAAAGCTGGTGGCTCAAATGAAGCAAGTCCAGCATCAAGGTCAAGATTTTCGATTGGAACTCCAAGCCATGGAACAGATCTTGAAAGAACAGCACAAGCGCCGCAACAAGGGAGGCAGCACTACCAGCATTATTTCTCCAGCAACCAATTCGAATACCACCACCAACCAACAACAAGTATTGTGTGCTGAAAAGTGTCGTGCCTGCCAATTGCCCTATGCCCTTGGATTGCCCCAACATTATGCTACGACTACTAGCCCTACCAATCATCATCCCAATGCTGCCAAGACAAATACCAAGACCATTACTCCCACCACTGCTGCTCCCACCAAGGCCGCCACTTTTCGCCTTGTCCAATCAACATCGGCTACAACAACAACAACTACTAGTCCATTATACGTGTGTCTTCATTGTGTCCAAGCCATTGCCCAGCCCATTTTTGCGAGCATTAGTAGCAAAAAGAAGAATGGCGGAAAGTCCAGCAGTCGTGGTCGCAAGCGTCGATCGGCGCCAGGAGAAAAGAGAGATGGTACGAAAAAGGTGGCCCCGGATGTTTCTGGCATCGGCAACGGTGACAAACAAGCTGTGGGTCCCATACCGGGTGGTGATGATGGAACAAACAATAGTAGCAAGAAGCACTTTTCTACGACGGAGGCAGCAGAATCAATGGTTCCATCTACTGGTACTGGTGCTGATGCTGCCAAGGTAGCCACGAATGGTCAGGAAGCTTCTCTTCATCTTTCGCCCAAGACTCGGCTTACCTCAGCTGTGGCGCGAATGGTGGGGCCACCTTCGAGTAACCAAGTAATATCGAAATGAGACACCAACAACGAGAACTTGGAGAATGGTACCAAGTAATCAAGCAAGCAAGAAAGCGACGTCCAGGATAGCCAGTCGTCAGTCATCGCTATCAAGATCAAATTGAAATTAGATTTGATCCATCATGAAATTGAGAAAATGACATGCAGTAGAATAACGATCACCTCTCTAGAGAAAGTATAGGTAAAGTTTCGACAGCATGCAATAGAGATTCTTGAAGACGTCGTCTCTGTGACCAAAATAATAACAAAGATCTCCACACGTCACCGCCGAATAGTCTCTTGAATCTTGATGAAGCGACTTGTACTTTGGACCAAAGATGAGCATTTTATGATCTTTGCAAATAGGAGATGAAGCGCGCCAAACAATAGCATAGATAGGAACATCAACCTTACCACAAAGAGCGCAAGCTTACCAAATGGTTCTTATTCTTCGACCATCATACAGTAGTCCTATGTTGATTGTAGCATGATTTCAATAAGCCAAAACTGTAACTCCTAGCACATTTCAAGAGGTACTGCATACATCAACGAACCTTTAAAGTTCAACACATCAATAAGTGCTTGTTCCAATGGATCCATTCCATTAATCCAATTTTGCGGTATTGTAGCTACAGTAGAACGAACGGTGCCACATACAGTAGCAAGATAGTTTTCCGATGACCATCGGCTCCACCTCCAAGACCACGAACGTTCACAACGAACCTTGTCACGAATACTCCGGAAATGACCAACATGCTGCCTTGCTCGATGGCGAAGAACCGATGCGGTGATCTGCCCAAAAGTCTGGGTTTTCACTCGGCAGATGTCGGATAATGCCGGCATCGACTGCACGCATATCCATATACATTCGTAAGGTGCGCAAAAATACTGTACGGTAGGTGCCAAGAGCCTAAAAAAATTGTACTTTAGATACTCGTACCTGGAGGCCTACTAAATTGTACCCTTTGTCAGACAAGTCGTCGTCTTCATTTTTTTAAACTCCACTGACGTTTTTTATATATTGAAAAGGTCTTTTGTCAGACAGTACTTTTCGCCATGACGTTTTTATATATGAAGAGTATCTTACTAAATTCTACAACTTGTCAGACAATTCGACGTCTACATTAATTCCACTGACGTTTCTTCAAACACCTTCTCAGGAAGTTTGGCCCAAACTTCTGCCGAAATAAAAGCACAATTTTGAAATTGTGGGAACTCACATTTCTTGCGGTCGGAAGCGATATATCAGTTTTCAATTCAAAGCTTACCCAATGGCTCTTATTCTTCGACCATCATACAGTAGTCCTATGTTGATTGTAGCATGATTTCAATAAGCCAAAACTGTATTAATAACTCGAAGCACATTTCAGGAGGTAATGCATACATCAATGAAGCTTTAAAGTTCACCACATCAATAACTTCTTGTTCCAATGGATCCATTCCATTAATCCAATTTTGCGGTATTGTAGCTACAGTATAACGAGCGGTGCCACAGACCATAAATAATGGTCTGAGAATGCGCTCAACTGTGTGAATCTAATGGATTTCAGGTAGGATCGATATGAATATGTAGTTAAGTTATAAAGAAAGATATAGTTGATGAGTTGTGATGTCAAGAGATCTCTTCTCTTGACGTCCCTTCTTCATTCTCCCATCTCCTTTAGGACGGCGTACAGACTCTATGTTCGAATTGGACGACGAAAGTTTGGGTCTTTTGACCAAAATTCAACGTGTTCAGGAATACTCCGGAATGACCAACATGCTGTCTTGCTCTCTCTGTGGTATCACATGCATGTTGCCGATGCGGTGATCAGCCCAAAAGTCTGGGTTTTCACTCGGCAGATGTCGGATAATGCCGGCATCGAGAGCACGTAAGTTCAAAGCGAGTAAAAATCCTGTATGCCGCAACCCACGCCGAATCGGAACGCGAAATCTGTGTCAACGTAGATATTCTACTAGAGATACTGAATTGTTCAGCATTTTATCTCGGTTCCTCGACCGCCCGGTATAACAAAACGCCAAGAGCCTAAAAAATCTAGCAATTATTCTTGTATTGTACATAAATACCGGTACACGTGTACCTGCAGGAAAAATTCTGACCACCCTTCAGACAAGTCGTCGTCTTCATTTTTTTTTAAACTCCGCTGACGTTTATAATATATTGAAAAGGTCTTATTATACTCTTCGCCATCATTATAATGAACCTTGATGACGTTTTAAAATATACATATGAAGAGTATCTTACAAAATTCTACCACTTGTCAGACAATTCGACGTCTTCATTATTTCCACTGACGTTTCTTGAAACACACCCTCAGGAAGTTTGGCCCAAACTTCTGCCGAAATAAAAGCAAAATTGCGGGATCTCACATTTCAATTCAAAACAGTTTTGCCCAGCACTATAATACCAATACGTAGTAAAAACGAAACAATGACAAACGAGAAGGAAGGAACCAAAGAAGAACGTCGTGTCAAACGCGCTCAAGAAAAACGCGAGGCAACTGGAAGCTCGTCAAGATCCTTGCAGACCAGCGGACATTCGCATGCATCGTTTTGTGATGATGGTGTCCGTCAGAGCACTCGATCAAGAACCAAGGGCTCGTCGTCAAGATCCTTGCAGACCAGCGGACACTCACATGCATCGTCTGGTGATGGTGTCCGTCGGGGCACTCGATCAAGAGCTAAGAGCTCGTCGTCGAGATCCTTGCAGACCAGCGGACACTCACATGCACCGTCTGGTGCTGGTCTCCGTCGGGGCATTCAATCAAGTGGGGACCTTCGCGCTAGGGACAGAGCTCGGCGATCTGGTCTTTCCTCCTCTCGTCACGGTTCTCATCGGACCAATCGATCAGAGGAGGATCGTCTTGCCAAGGGTCGATCTCGAAGAGCTGGGAATAACCCTGCCAAACCAGGTGCCCATGCTGCGACCACCGCAGATGAAAGCAGCCAAGCTAGACAGAAAAGTCGAACTGATCGATCTCCCAGGACCAATCGATCAGACGCGAATGGTCGTACTGCTCTTTCCTCCTCTCGTCACGGTTCTCGCCGGACCAATCGATCAGAAGAGGACCGTCTTGCCAAGGACCGAGCTCGAGGCGCTAGGTCTAAGTCTCCTGCCAAACCAGGTGCCCACACTGCGTCCAACGCAGACGAAAGCGATCGGGCTAGACGAAAGAGTCGATCCAATCGAGAGGATCGGAATCGCAATAAAGATCGCGACGCCAAGATTCGAGCCAAGAATGGTGGTGGTGTACCTCCCAAAGAGCGAGACGTTGTGGTGGATCCAGTCGAGCAGCCAGCTGATGATACTGGTGCTGTTGGGTTGAAGGCAATGGCTGTCGAAGATGTCGAGAATGAACAGCTCAAGGAACAACAGGCTCAGATTGAAGCGCTCAAGCAACAAATGCAAAACATGGCGCAACCAAATCATGGTTCGGATCCTGACACGGACGATACCAGTGATGTCGATGATACAAATGAAGATAACGAGCAGCATTCCAAGAAGCGCGCGAAATGCATTGCTGGCATCTTCTTCCTCCTTCTTGCAATCGGTGGTGGGGTTGCTGGATACATTCTGGGGAATCCGAAGAAGTCTCCCACCGAAGCTCTACAACTTGATGTAGGGCCGACGAACCCTCCAACTACGGCAGGTGGCAATACTACTGCTATACAATTACCCAGTACTTCGCCTTCCAACAGTCCTACCGAGTTGCAAATCTACACGCCACCAAGTAAAGAAGATTGCGAGGCCATTGCATCTGGCTCGACATTGTCGGACCAAACCACTTTGACCTCCAGACAGTTTGTCATTGAGTTTGATGCAACCTTGAACTCTCAAATGGCAGAGGAAGATTGGGTAGGACCTCTCAAGGAGCAGCTTCAGTCGATTTTTCTTCCCGTCGTGGCCGGTTGCTCGACTCGTCGTTGGCTTCGTGAAACGAAGAGCAAGCAACACAGACAACTGCAATTGTTGCCAGACTTTGCTATTGCAAACGGCAAAATTGGAGACGCCATTGTAACGGAAGGGGGCTGCGAGGACGAGTCTGCTGCCGCGCTCTGTCATCGCGTGAGCGTCTTGATGGATCTTTCACTTCGCGACGAAGATACGAAGCTCACTTTTGTTGAGGCCTATTTGATTACCACTCTTCGTGCTTTGCCAGACAACGTTTTGGGCCTAGGAACTCTTTTGTCTAATCTTGTGGTCGTTCGAGCTGCTCCCACCTCGCCAACAGACGAACCAAGTATCAGCCCGAGCTTTACTCCAACTACCGTTCAGCCTACCGATGCACCGTCATCACAACCATCACTTGCCCCAGTTGTTGGTCCAACTACTCTTGAACCAACAAGATCCCCGACCAAAGCACCAACAAAGGCTCCGGTCGCGGCTCCGATTTTGTCAACTGAGAACCCAACCGCAAGCCCAACGAAGGCACCAGTTGTGGCCCCTACATTGGCTCCTGTGGCTGGTCCAACAACGCCACCGCCAACACAAGTACCTACAAAGGGTCCATCGGTGCCTCCATCAAAAGTACCCACCGAGCTTCCAACGGCAAGCCCAACTTCTACACCTACTCAAGAACCTACTATTGCAACATTGGCTCCTACTATATCTACATCTTTGAGTCCTTCCTCAGTTCCATCTTTATTGGCATTGGCAGTTCCTACTGTAGAGGCATCGGTTGTTCCCACAGCTGTGTTATCCTCGTCTCCAACACTGCAAGCTAGCCAAAATCCAACGGTGATGACATCAGTCATAACGCCATCGGCGACAGCCCTGCAGTCATCCGAGTATTATTGCCCCGCTGCCGTTTGCGCAGGTGATAGAAGTGGGCATCTGCTGCCTGGGACGCCAGCAGGAGAAGCTTCGAATGCCATTGATGGCAACACCGACGGCAACTACTTTAGTGGATCAAGTTCGCACACCTGGACACAATGGAACCCATACTGGCAAGTACAAGGAATTGCAGGCCCTGTCAGTACAGTACGCGTCTGGAATAGAAACGATGGGGAGACAGGTCATTTGGTTGGCGCAGCGGTGGACCTGCTGGATAGTAACGGAGAGGTCCTAGCAACTCGCGAAATTCAGGGCGTTGCAACCTTCTGGGAATTCGAGTTTGATAGTATCAGCGGAGTCGACAAGGTTCAAGTCTCGCACCGTGGCCTTCGCTTTATCATTCTTGCAGAAGTCGAAGTCCTTGGTGGATCTTCTGGCGGTTCATTACTCACTGAATCTTCGGTAGCCTCGCAATCATCGTCTTTAAATTGCGATGCATGTATTCACGTTCCACATTTCTCTGCTGGTGGGCCAGCAAGCCTAGCCATTGACGGTAATCGAAATAGTCCGGCTCATACCCACTTTCAGGTAGACCCGTGGTGGCAGGTTGATCTCCAGCTGACGGCAACTGTGAGCATGGTTATCGTTTGGGGCCGTCCCGATTGCTGCAACATGGAACGGTTGGTTGGCGCCAAAATTCAACTAAAAGATAGTTCTGGCAATATTCTTCACACCGAGACAATCACGGGTGATGGTGTGATGAGCACTTTTGAATTTCCTCACGTCGAGGATGTTGTTGCAATTCGAATTGCATTGGATTCGTCGCCAGAATATTCTCTTTTGAATATTGTTCAGGTCGAGGCATTCGGTTTTATCCAATGATCTGTCGTTATTGCTAGACAAATTTCTCTATGCATAATAGTGTTTTTAACAGCCATCTATTTTTATGTAGCAATCAATAGAAATTCCTTTATCACCTACCCTTGTGCCCGAAGTTGCTTCCCGCATCATGAAAAGGCCCAACACATGTCCCACTGATTGAAAGTAAAAATCAATATTGCGATTTGTGAGAGGACGTCGTCACCACTACTACGTTCATCATACCCACCTCCCATCACACGACGCATGTCACGCTCAATGGCGTCGGCGTCTTTTCGCTTTCCTCGGAATTTCGTCGTGCAGTCCAACACCAACACCAAGATCCAGCGCCTAACAACAAAAACACTGGTGATAATATTTGCACCATGAAGATGACTCCATTTCATATCCTTTGTTCCTCCGTCGAGCCCCGCCAAGATCTGTTTGAGATCCTATTGTTGTTGAAAGAAGAAGAAGACAAGAGTAATAACAAGTGCCACCCCTCCTGGCAACAAGTTCTAAGACAAAAAGACGCAAATGACAAGCAAGCCATGGACTACTTGATTACCAACTGGACGCCCAAGACCGCAGCATTGCTCGAAATGACCGCCCGGCGATGGATGCTGGATCCATCTTTCCTGAAGAATCAGCAGCATCCCTGGGATAGTACTCCTGATCCTAGATCCAGCAGGAGGTTGGGCATGGAGCGCAGAGTGAATGCCGTAATGAATGTCAGAAACACCAAAGAAACCAGATCCTTTTTGTGGAACAAGGCATCTGACATGTTCGAGGTGTACACAAAACTGGAATCCATTTCGATTTTGGAATTGGCCTTGTGGCACAAACAAATCAAGAGTGGTGGCATGATGAATGTCAATCGCACCAAGAAAATAAGTCTGGATCGGGACCAGTGCCTTAGTCAATGTGGATCGGGTGTAGTGCTCCCTACTATTGGTGCTTTCTTGGGTTTGGAACTACTAGTAGTGGCACATTCGAATCCTGCTTCTAGGAACGACGATCGGCTTTGGAGACATCTACAAGTATGAGCGCAGTTGCTTGGATCGAGGAAAGGCACCTCTCCTACTCCCAAAACCTAATCTGAAATACTATTTATTATGACGACTATTTTATTCCTATCTAAGATAGCCTACTGCCGTCCTCCGTGTGTGTGTTCGTAGTATTTTGTCTTGGTGTGTAGCTGGTGGGTTGTGGTGTGAAGCGGGTCGAACTGATCGAGTAATAGACTCGATTCGTTCGA